AGAAAACACTAATAATAAACATTCGGTGACAAAATCATGAATCTATAGTTAATTTTTTACGACAAAAAACAAAATTTATTTTGTTGAAAAACTAATTTCCCAATTTTGTTATGAAAACATGAAAGCTACTGAGAAGTGAGAATTTAAAATTTTGACAACTCGGATACCAGAAGAGTACAAACAGAACATAGAAAAGTTTAATGAAGTTGAAAACTGAATCATTATTTTGACTACTTATCATTATGGTAGACTGAGTAGAGGACTTGTAGCCCTAAAAAAGCTTTAAATATGCAAGCACTTAGCACTTATGCACTTAAAATGTACATTCCACAGAACTGACTGGGACTAAAGACTAAAATATTTATTATTGTTATGTTTAGAAATGTTTTATAAATAAATGCTAATCGAATAAAAGCCCGCGTGGTGCGTAGAAAKCTGTGKTGGTGATGTCGTAGGTATAGTGTACGAGGTTAGATCGTTATCGCTTCTTCRAAAAATGTGCGCCCGTGGACAGTCAAAAGCCATATTATATTATTATAMGACAAATATTAAAAATAAATATATTTTTATCCWAACATTTTGACTGTATTGTTTGAAATAAAAATGTCAAAGTGGAAAAAATTGATTTAAGTTAAATATGTCTTAGATAGTACAAAATAGCATATAAAAGTAAGTGTAATATATGCCTTAAAAACCAAAAAAGCGCAAAATATGCATTTATATGCACAATAAAATTTCAAAACTAGCTTTGTGAAAACATGAAGTGTATTTGTATTGTACTCTGCTATTTTTGTGACTRTGTAAAACAAATATGCAAATGCTTCAAGTYMTCTGCCCTACTTATCACGTATGCAGACACAAATAAAATAAAAGCAAACACATATCATTGTAAAATCAATACATTCATCACTYGGCTTAGAATCTAAAACTCTCWGGACGCATCTCCTATTGTCCTATWTAATACTTTATAACTTATGTAATAAGGTAGTTTCTAAAATATATAATATTTTACYATTTCAGTATTACTAAGAACATAGCTGCAATAACATTGTTATGATATTAAATTTTAAATCTAATTGGAAGATGACGAATGTTTAGTAACAAGGAGAACGAATTGGAATAAAATTGTTTCATTTCAGTTTTTGAAAAGAGGATGCAAAAGTTTTACAGGCCTATTTTACTAAAGGAAAAACAGATTGCTTTGGTAGCAAGCTTTTTCTAGTACACTTACATATTTTAACTTAATAATAATATACATTGTATATATTAATTATCATAGAAAAAGTTGCCAATTTTTAGGAAGAGAGTGTTGATTTTATATTCATTAGGTAACAATTTTAATATTAATTTACATAATTATTTTAGATTTATCAGTACCACTAGGAATCAGCAAATAATACTTTTTCATAAATGCTGTATTAAAAAATAAATTTAACAACATTGTAATAAGAATAAAAAAAAAAAATTACATAGCAATGGTTGTTATTGCATATTATGTCAGATTACCAACTTAGATATCTTAAGATACTAAGGTATCTGTCATTTGTTGTACAGTATGTTTTTGTTTATCTGTGACGACCAATTTGAGGAAAACATCAGTTAAAAACAGATTTCTAAGTTGTTGTTCTGATGTCTTAGCAATGTTCCTGATACGACTGCCTCTTTTTCCCATCACCAGCTTCTCTATTCTTGGTGTATTGCAGTGAATTAATACAACAATGTGTATGTTACCTAGATATCATTAAATAAGTGTTATATTTTTTTTTATTACTTACAACACATATATAATATATGTTACTCAAAAAACTGAACTTACCTTCCCGAGAAACTTCATAATATTCCATTTCTACTTTTAAGTTGTAAGGAACTTCATTGGGTAA